TTACTAATACGCGCCGTTATTGTGCAAACCATATGAGAACGTACTACTCTCCGCATTTATCAACAGTTCCCTATGCTACTCACACGAACGACAGCGGCAGACCAGCAGCAACAACAGTCTCAACACAAAAGCAAGATTTTCTTTTTGATATAAACTTGTTCTCTGGAAATTCCAACAGAGGTATTTTGACGATAACTGGTGGAAAAGTGAACTCTGAAATCAAAACAAATGACTTATTTATTGTCTGCATCGAAATTGTAAGTAATACTTTTAATGTTTCTTTTACCGAATTACACTACAAATTCTTATAATAATATAATACCTACTCCTAAGAAAAATGCCATTTGCCAAACATCTTCTACTTCTTCAATGTAATTACAATGTCCTATTACTATCGAAAAAACTTTAAATTCATTTTCTGCAACAACAACAACAATAATAATGTTACGGACTGTGACAATGCCGAACGGGCCACCCCAAAATAATAACAAGAATACAGTATCGTAAACCTAAACCCTTCATAGACAAAACCCGTATAAATGCAACCCTTCCTTAAACGTGACATTTTTGCTCGGTTGATAAAATGGGGCTGGACAAGTTTCTTCTATTAAACAGTATCTCAGAATAAATTTCTCTCATTTGTATTCCAAATGATATATCAAAATTCACAGAGCCCGATTTCTCAAATACCATTAGGGGCTAAAGTTATTGCAGGTTTATTGACTGGCGTGTAAATTTTGACCGACAGAATTGCTCTGCACCGCTTTAGACATGCCCCATACAAATATACTACAGTGAACCCTCCATAAATGCACCCTCCATAAATGCACACCCTCCATAATGCACGCTACCTCTCATTCCCGAGCTTGGGAATTAGACGTAAATGCACACCCTCCATATTCTGCACTGCACGGTTTTTTCAAATCCCCACCATAGGTAAACCTCCCTCTCTAAATGCACGCCCGTGACTTTCATGTGATATCAGTAGTGTGTTACTACACAAAATTTGTACCCACGATTATAGACAAAGACTGAATAAAGAAATTTCTGTACGCAAATACGATGTACAAACATTACTGATCCATCTGGATGTTTCGTCCTAATGCATTTCATATCGAGCATAACACTCGAGACATTATAACCGTTCTAGTCGACGCGGTAAACTTTTTCGGTGATATAAATACCGTAGGCTACTGAGTACAGCATTCGCTCAACCTATTCCGGTTTATATAATACGTTTTGCTGCGACACTAAAATCATTCAACGAGCCAGCCATCCATAGGTGAACCGATACGTATGTTTATTTATAATAGCAAAATATTACTACCGCAATTGGAATGATAATATAGTAAATACTATCGAAACAGCATCAATCAATTAATAAACCAAGTGAAACATGATGATGCTCATCTATTACAAGATAGTTTGAGACAAGTTTGCTAAAGTGAAATATAGTGTAGAAAGAATATCAGAACACTTGTGTAATTACCGAGTCGACAACAACAACAACACCTTTCTTGACTACGTTGCGAAGAAGTACAAGTGACATAGATCAACGTTTGCCTAGACACGTGAACAGAGACAGACGGTCGCAGCATTGCCTTTATAATAATAAGTACCGGTTCTAGTATTTGAGAAAAGTAACGGTAAAAAGGTTCGTCAACCACGTTTTTCAGAAATAATTTCCAAGTTCTCATTCAGGCTGGTTGCATGTTTCTCACAGAATGTTTACATCAAAACATTGCTGACATAATCGTAATGTGATCCGGATTTACGTTCCATCATTCCCAAACCCGTGTTGCTGAGACAATTTTAAGCCCTGAATCTCACACGGTCAAAATATTTATACATGTGGGCGTGGTCAGGGTTTTTACGAATTAACTTTGAGCTAAATTTAATTTAATGTGAGTGTTATTCGTACAAACTTTGATTGTCAATCTAACTTCATTTGAAGAACGCCAAGACAAATTTATGCGAGTGGGGCACCTTTTGGAAGCGTCGGTTCCGTTTTTAATGGATATGCAACCCTTGCCGTTAATTCTGCTGTTTCAGACTAGAACATCAGCAAATAACCCCTTTCTGTCTACTTCCGATGGCTCCGTTGATATCGGATTGGTGTTCAGAACGAAACGGCAATTCCGCAATACTTGCATTTGATTATAAGCCTACCCATGTGACTATCTGTTCTCTTTGCTATACGTGCACCTTTAAGTAATAAAATTACGCGTCACATTGTGCATTGACATTCATACTATTGAATTTATTCAATTTGACCCGAATATTATTAATTTTATTTAGCTCGCTGTTATTTACACAGCATGTATAGTAATTACAAAAAAAAAACTAGAAATACAATGATAACATGTAAAGGAAGGTAAAGTGTTCTATTAATGATCATAGTCTACAAAACAAATAACCGAGTTCCAAAAGTCCTTTGTCTTTATCTTTAATTTGAACTACGAGTTACTTCTATGCTTTGCACCGAGAAGATCCTCATAACTCCGAGCTTCAGATATCGAGTAACCATCGTCATCATAGTCGTCCAGTGTGATAATGCTCAGAGCATCTGATGACATGTTGTTAAATCTACTCGGATATGAAGAACGATTATTATCAGCAATCTGCCTGTCAATGATAACATCTGGTGTAAGTGGTGGTAGACTATCTCTCTCAATTCCCGTGCTGTTCCTTCGCTTCCGAGCAGTCGCATTGCGAGTCGAGATGGGATACGGCGAATTATTATTATT